TACACATTTTTTAGCTTAACAAAAGATTGAATATAATTGAAAGATTTAATATATATATATACATATATATATATATATATATATATATATATTATGTCCCTCCTAAGGGAAACAACTAAAAGAACGGATATTTAATTTAGGATCAATAAGGGTATTGGCAAATATACTATCAATTCAGTTAAATCGAAAAATGATTAATAAAGTGATGGTAAAAACAAAAAATTTTAAAACAGCAAAACAATTGTGTAAAAAACATAATTCATATGCTCATTGTGTTTTAGGTGCACGTCCATGATAATAAAGTTGAACTTCAGGAAAGAGTGTGCTCCGCATATAATGTCCATTTTACAACGTTTGACGGACTGTATGTTAATTTATTCACTCTGTTATGAAGAAATATATATTAAATAAAGTAAACGACAAATTTTGAAAGACGCAAGTGTATTTTCATACTTAACTTAATGATGGTACTTCAAACTTTTGCATGTTTGTTATGATCATATTTTTTACCAAATAAACTATGAAAAAGAACACATTGATACTGCTTATCATTTATCTCCAGTATGCATTAATTTTTGAAACCGTTTTTCATGAATAAATTCATTGGATTTATTTAGATAATGTCTGGAATACCAATTTTTGAAAACATTTTTATCGTTACATCTTAGGCATTACGAACAACCAAACCAAGGAACATTTACCATGTACAATAACAGACTAAAAGAAAGAAATATGATGGTACGATATTATATTGTGCTTAGGACTAAACAAAATGCGTTAATACTTAATGCACTGAAAGACGTTTACGTAATTTTGGATTGCTAAAAAAAAAGTCCCCGAACCGCATATGTTTTGCTTTTTTTTATATTTAAATAAGCAAATTTCATTAGCATGAATTTCTTTATACTATTATCTGAATACATACGAACTTTTACCCATTCAACAAAAATGTCTCAATTGATAAGTTGATTGATTGTTGCTTACATTACGTCCAGTGGCAGTTATTCAGGACGGGAAACTATTAACAATTGATACAATAAGTAGGTTCATCAAGGACGACAGGAATGAAGTGCGGGAACCTTCTACTGCCACTGGAAAACAATGGTATGTTTGATAGGTACAGAAATTTTGCCTTGCAACAGGGCAACTACAGACACCTTAAAGAGTTGTTAAAAGGGTTATTCAACGAACAGAGAGCCGAACTCTCTTTAAACGATTCATTGGATTTTACATCTCCTTTCTGACCGGATGTTGCTGCGAATTTATACATCCAACACAGCCTCAATTTAGCAAGGTTTTATCATCCGGTCGAAAGAAAAACCAAGGTTTCCATATTTTTAAACCTCAATCACCCTTTGGGAAGAATAGTTTTAAATACGTAACTCTGTTATATATTATAGCTTATGCGGTTTTTTTCGCGCTGATTGTTCGCACTTACCTATCTGAATATCGCCGCGAAGCCAGTTATTTAAAAGTGTGCACCAAATTTCTTTAGGTATTTCGAATAGACAAAAAAAAATATTACAGTCATTCCTTATAATCTAATTCTAAATTTCATTTTTAAAGAGTAAATCATGAAAAAAAACGTTGATGACGGTAACATGACAAAATTATGCCTTTGAGCTGATAGACAATCAACTTTCAGCCAATCAGAAGACGTGTTATATCCAAAATTGATTTATAATAATATAAGTGTAGATTCTTCAAATGCAATGACATATGTAACAACTATATTTATTATACACTAAATTATGATGCATTCCCTTCAATGTATAGGTACAAGCTAAGCTTACACAGTGCGACGACACTAACGGCGTTCATTGTATTTGTGGTGTTGCTGTGAGGGCTGGAGGAGATGTGTATATGTTTGACTTTTGTGATGGGAATAGCATTATACAATATATGGCTTGTCAACAACAACTTTTAGATGTTACTACTCGTTCTAAAGACAATAAAAAGTACAAGGTAAGATATGATTGTTTTTTAATGATTACAATTTTTTCAAAAAGTATTTGGATGACAGTTTGCGTATTAAAACTTATCTTATTTATTTGAAAGCATACTAAATTGGTAGATAATTTGACATATGAATTCACAGTTCGCATCTTTACAAGTATGATTTGTACGCATAGTTGAATAATTAAGAAATCAATAATCAAAAGCATGTACCAAAATTAAAAAAAAATCAACGTTGACATATCGTTTGTGCGAAGTAGGTGCCCAATACCTTCATGATAAGATTCCACAGATTACCACCAAAAGATATATGATTCGAATAATTCATGCTGCAACCAACACTGCTTAAGCAAGATATATTAAAATGAGATTCCATTTAGACTGAATAATTTCAAAGCTTTTTTTTTGTAAAAGATTACCTTTCCAACTGGTACCGAGGTAGCCGTTAATATCCAGTACATTGGCACGAACACTTTTATGGATGTAGAAATTAGAGCTTCAGACAGTGACTTTAACATGACAGAAGGCCTTTGTGGTACTCTCAACGACAAATGCAATGATGATTTTACTGAAACAGATGGCAAATTCTTACCAGTAAACTGTCAATCGGATACAATAATGGCTACGATATCACAAAATTTTTCGGATTCATGGAGGTTTGTGATATAAAATAAAAACCAAAAGAATTATTTTGTTACATCTGGTGATCCGTTTATTTGGCAATCGCCAATGGCAGTCAGCAGGGTTTAAGAACGTCCGTTGTTTGATCTGCTAGTCAAATGCGGTTTTTTTTTTAATATACGTTTTCACTTTTTTGGTCTTTAGGAAAATGTTGTTTGTGCTGTATTTAGACCCCTCTACCAAGAAATTTGTTTTGTATGCACACGTATAAAAATTGCGGTTTTTATCCGACGCAATCATAGGTTTGAACGTTGTTTTCAATTTAGACTTGTTTATATTTTTTCGTTTGGGCTTGTATTTTATTTGCCTTCGGGTTTATATGATCCGTTCATCCTATTTCGACTCTTCAAAATTCAAGAGTCTATCATAAATTAAGTTAAATTATATGGCCTTCCAAATACCGTTTCGATTCCTAACATCACTGAAGAGACATTAATTGTCGAAATCCGGATTTGGTGTACTAATTTTTGCACCTTTGGTTGCGGTATACCATCTTTTCCGCAAGTTTATTGTTTTCTGTTTGGTATTAAATTAATAGTTAAGTTCCATTTTGTTACATCTGGTGATCCGTTTATTTGGCAATCGCCAATGGCAGTCAGCAGGGTTAAGAACATCCGTTGTTCGACCTGCTAGACAAATGCGTTTTGTTAAAATATACTTTTTCACTTTTTTGGTCTTTTGGAAAATGTTGTTTGTGCTGTATTTAGACCCCTCTACCAAGAAATTTGTTTTGCATGCACACGTATAAAAATTGCGGTTTTTATCCAACGCAATCATATGTTTGAACGTTGTTTTCAATTTAGACTTGTTTATATGTATTTATGTATATAGTAGAATATTTTTTTTAACGATCAAAGAGCATGTCTATTAGAAATACTTATAAAACCGTATGTTGGCATTGAAAACAGTGCCATTAATTGCCTAAAATTATATTGATACTTTCATCAATTGTCTGAGTGAACGCCAAATCTAATATTTGAAAACTGAATGGTTTTTTGTAAAGTTGTTTATAATGTTATTATAATGCTTTGTATTTTTGGTGAATTAAAGGAATAATATTTTTTTTACAATGATGAACAATTATATTACAAGGACGATTAAATAGGAAACAAAATCATTGATGAAAATACAATCGAGCAAAAAGCAATAAACATAACTGAAATTGCATAGACAACTATATATATTCTTTTTTATGTTTCAATCAATTTAATGATAAAATAAAACATAGCCAAAGAAATTATCTTTTAGAGTGTCTGGTAGAAGTGACCTATTCAATCTCTCAAACGGCGAACAGATTGCTTTATGGACCGATCATGATGAGTATTGCAGTTGTCCTTCAGCAGAGATATCTGATGAATTTGAATGTTCAGCAAGATCAACCGTACCATGTAACAGTAAAAACAATTACAAAACGATAGGACAGTCTACATGCAAGCTGAGTCCTATAGACAACTTTAACATTCAGACTAAAAATAGAATCCAACAAAATGCCACAACACCTGTAAGTTTTGTTTTTTTATTTATTTATTTCAGTTTGTTTTGAAGGAAAAACTATTGTTCTTTCGTCATGTATAAACTTGATTATGCAGAACATTTGTATAAGGTATTCTATATTCTTTTGGTGTTGAAAAACAAGACATTGCATTTTTGAAGGTTTTTTGTTTTGTTTTAACGTATCCGTTTTATCGCACAAACGTGCTTTGGTCTACAATATTCTTTGTTGACACTATGAAAATCGAGTATTTATTGGGAAAGTCGACCGTTTTTTATCTGACTTTACATGTTCTTATTGTACATAAACATTTAAATGAAAAATAATCTTTAAGGTCATGCCTTTCAGATGAAGAAAATACATTGTTTGTTTCAAGAAGCATTATATCCAGTGGTTAGCACATTGTGTTAATAATATTTAAAAATAAAATAAAAATCTATTGTAGAACCCTGAGCTTGTTAATATTTCATTATCTGAAGCACAGTCTCGTTGTCGTGAAGCCATTGAAAACAATACAGCCTTCAAAGCTTGTTCAGTGGTACCAAACATGCCAAGTGAATATTTTATACAGATTTGTGGTATGGAAGTTCAGGTATGCGCTTAGTGTTTTTAAATCTCTTTTTATATCTTAGAAATATTACTAGTAATTTACAAAGATATTTAAATACTGCACGAAAATTTTGATTTAATTGTACATCTTATAATAATATATTGATGTTCTGAAATATTTTATTGATATTTGTCTTAAGTGTACGTGATAAAGGTTATCTCAGGAAAAATTGTCATGCACACTGATACACTACAACCCCTTTGACGGTGTCCATGTTGGTCAGCTGTTGATACTTATTTACTTTATTTTGTTATTTTCCAGAATTCAAAATCGATTGCATGGATTAGGCACACGGTTGATTCAATGAAAAGTCGTTGTTTGTCGGAAGTTCAGAAAAACGAGACATTAAATGACCAACCGAGTGAAGATATACCGTCAATAACTGAATCAGTAATAATGGCTATTTGTCCAGGTCTTCCTGAATGCAATGGGAATGGAAAATGTGATCATGGTGTGTACCTCATCAAACAGCCAATTATTTCATATATTTTATGTTTATGGTCGATATATAAATATATATGTATATTTAGAAGTTTATAAAAAGGATTAACCAGCAAATTTAATATGTACTGGATCGTCTAGAATAGACGATGCTGCGCAGATGAAGAAAACAGTCTAAATATTTGCACAACGGTAACAAATAGCCTTCGTCAGTGTCAATATTTTTTACACAAAATTGTAAAAATTATTGACACTGACGAAGGCTATTTGTTAAGCCAAAATATTTGTAAACACGATTTTATAACATCATCTTCGTATATTACCATCTTATATTAGTACCGTTGTGCAAATATGTATCTTTTTTAATCGTTCATAATGTAGAATACTGTGTTGAGAGGAGCATATATGTATGTTATGATCCATAACGTTTCATCACAGACTGTTTCATTCATTCAACATAGTAATGTATAAATTATTGATTATGATGTAACCTATAATTCAAGGTGTATGCGTTTGCAATGAAGGATTTATGTCACAAGATTGTTCTATGACAAAGACAGTACCACCAGAAATATACGGAGTTAGAGGAAATGGTATATGTGATAGGAATGAAATTAATTGTGATACAGCATTTGTTGTTGGAAATAGAATAGAAGAAAGTGACGAACTGTCTTGTAGAATATCTAAATATGTTGTAAGTCTTGAGGAGAAAGTGACGAACTGTCTTGTAAAATATCTAAGTATGTTGTAAGTCTCGAGTTTTCAGATTTGAGTAACTATCTTAATCCAAATCTGTACTTTTGTATGGAGAGATATCATGTTTTTTTTAACTTGGTCGATGGCAATAGACATTTGCAAGACAATTGTTTTTATACGCCCATCAAATTTTTTGACGGGACGTATTATGGTATACAAATGTCCGGCGTCCGTCCGTCTGTCCGTCTGTCCGTCTGTCCGTCTGTCCGTCTGTCTGTCCGGCGTAAACATGTCGCACCCTATCTTGAGAATGACTTAACCAAATTTCATGAAACTTAACATAGTTGTTTCTTATGATGGTCAAACGATCTGTATACTTTTTGGTGAAAATAAAATTAAAACTTTTTGAGTTACGGGACTTAGTAACTAAAACAGGTGTGTGGTTTTTTTCACATGTCGCGCCGTATCTCAAAAACAATTTATGATTATTGCTTAAAACTTTACACACTTCTTAGTTATATTAATCTTAAGATCTGTATACTTTTTGGTGATGATTCAAAATTTTATTTTAGAGGTATTGAGTATTTTGTTAAAAAAAGGGAGGGGTTTTTCACATGTCTCGCCGTATCTCAAAAACAGTTTATGATTATTGCTTAAAACTTAACACACTTCTTAGTTATATTAATCTAAAGATCTGTATACCTTTTGGTGATGATTCAAAATTTTATTTTTGAGTTATTGAGTATTTTGTAAAAAAAGGGGGAGGGGTTTTTTCACATGTCGCGCCGTATCTCAAAAACGATTTATGATTATTGCTTAAAATTTTACACACTTCTTAGTTATTTAATCTAAAGATCTGTATACTTTTTGGTTTTGATTCAAAATTTTATTTTAGAGATATTGAGTTTTTTGTAAAAAAAAAAGGGGGGTTTTCGCATGTCACGCCGTATGTCAGAAACTATTTATGCTTATTGCATAAAAATTCACACACAAGACGACGGGCGTATCATGCGCTCATGGCGCAGTTGTTTATTATCTTTATTGTTTTCGTAGGTATCCCAAATTACATGTTTTTGGTTGTTAGGCAATATTAATTTTACAGATGATATTCGCTGTCGAGAAGGCTTTTCTTTATTTGAAAACGACAATATGTTTATAGAAACTTCAAAATCGTTTTTAAATTTCTGTTTTTGTTTTATTTTGGTACATCTTATTTTAATATCAAACTCCTTGAAATGGAAACTTATCATCAACAAAATAGTGAGAAAAACGAAAATTACTATCTCTATATTAAGCCTCAATTTTCAAACATGTCTTTTTAATTTACAAACCAGATTCATCCAGATGGCAGTAAATCATTTGAAGGAACAACAATAGTACGTGGGAATGTAGAAACACTCGTAGAGGTACACTGTCCTTTGAAAAATCCAAAACAGAAAAGAAGCGTCGGAAATACTGGTAATATTCATTTTGTTGAAGTGTTTGATGTCAGTGTCAGTTATAATAGGGAAGATTTCAGCGACCCAGAAAGAGTGATTCTTATGAATTCCAAATGTCAACAAAACAATGGGACCACCACTGAGCCTAATTTTGTTCTGAAGGTAACTCATAGATTTTTGTATCATTATTATTATCATTATATCATTATTATCTATCATTATTGACAGAGGTGAAATATACGCTTTAATTTGAACATGACTTTAAATTTAAGGACATATTAGTTTTATAAAAATGTTTAGATTAAAACTATGTCAACATTTCTTAGAGGTAAATTCTATTTTCTGCAATAATAAGACATCACAGGTCTTGGAATTAACATTTGATTTTAATATTTTAAATCAATATGAATTTTCTACCAAAACAAATATTTATTTAGTTGTGTATGCCCCACCTACGATATAAGGGGTCATACAGTTTTCTAGTCTATAGCTAGTACGTCCGTCCAGCATAAGGTTAAGGTTATGTTTAAATTATTTTGACATGCAGTTGTGGTCACATCGACATAAAAATTAATACACACGTTCATCATGATTTGAACTTTGAAAAACTAAATGCCAAATTAGGGTTGTGACCCAGTTTTTGCTATTCACTGAACAAGTAAATGAGAAAGTTTGAGCGATGCATTATGCCCCATTAACACATTTTTCTTGGTTTCTTATGTTCCAGGATGATACCTGTTTTATCGATAACCAGTGCCTCTTGGACAAGGAACCTAACCCACAAAAAGAATATCTGTACTGTAATGCACCAGTTGATCAATTTCACTGGACTTTTGATGATAGCGAAAATTGTAAAGTAGAAGAACAATATTTTAGCAGGAACAACATGATATTTGACAAAGAATGCTTATTATGCAACCCTGAAATTACGTCTTATAATTGGACTCTCAAAGAGGTGTGTGTGTATTACAAATTAACTTTAAAGAAAACAGATGTTCGATATTTAATTCATGTGTGTATTGGCTAAATAATGAATATTATGTAATCAAAAATTATATGATGAAATCAGTATATTTAAGGGTTTGTAAGTAATTGAGCAAGTTTCTTTAAAATTGAGAATGGAAACGAGAAATGTGTCAAAGAGACAACAACCCAACCAAAGAGCAAAAATCAGCCCAAGGCCACCAATTGGTCTTCAACACAGCGAGAAAAAACCGCACCCGGAGGCGGGCTTCAGCTAGCCGATAAACAAAAATGTGTACTAGTTCAGCGAAAATGGACGTCACAATAAACTCCGAAACATAAATAAACCAAAATTAAAAAAATATACAAGACTAACAAAGACCAGAGGCTCCTGACTTGGGACTGGCGCATAAATGCAGCGAGAGTAAACATGTTTTGTGAGATCTCAACTCTACCCCTATACCTCGAGTCAATGTAGAATAAACAAACACACAGCAATACGCACAGTAAAACTCAGTTTAAAACAAGTCCTTCCTATATTAGAATATGTTACAGAAAAACTAAGCAAAATGACAATGATACATAAATTAACAAAGGACTACTAGCAGTTACTGACATGCTAGTTCCAGACCTCAATTAAACTGATTGAAATATTATGTCTCCATCATATGAAAATCAAGCACAATCCCTCTCGTAACCCGTATCATGCCAACAACTGGTTTTAGAATAAATGTGTTTATTTCCGATGCAAAGACCCTATGAGTGAATCAATATTAATTCATAAAAATGCCATCTGTAATGACCAGACAACAGTATCGTAACTATATCCCTTCTGAGTAAGTCTGTTTAAAGGTTTGGTTAGCTTTTGAGTCGAATGACGACATTTTTGTGCTTTGTATAGAATATTACCATAAAAGATTGATATGTGAAATACCTGAACGTATAAGATGTCTGCACGTTGATTTATATTTACGAATGATGTCCTTTTACCGATGATAAAATTGAATGCCACGAGCTTTTTTAGTTTGCAATTTTTTTTATTTTATAGAACTATTGTTTTATCGATGGTGTATGTCTTCCACATGGTGAGAAGAATACGGTTGATGAGTGTTTGTTATGCAACACAATAAATAACTTTTTTGAGTGGACAAAGCATGATGAAGGTACACGTTATCATTTTGAATTTCTTACTTATAGGTTTATACAAAGATCGGATAAAGTCGATCCTAGTCTTATATATATTTTTTTATTTTAAATTAGTTTACGTGAAAAAAACCTGTGTGCTTTAAATATACCAGTATTTTTTTATTTTTTTGTTTGGACAGAAACACATGTGCGCATGTGTATCATATGTTATAACTATTTCTTATGATTCATTTCTTGTAAACAAACGAAAACGTAAATGTTAAAGGGGAATATGATACCAAGAGGCAATCATATATCATAATCGAAGAGAGAAGTGCAACAGCTTATCAAAGAAAAAAGAGGAATCAGCAGTTGATTATAGCAAGAAAAGAAAAAGATGGAAGGGGATGTAGATACGACAAAGGAGAACATCTGTCATCTTTGACAAAGATATTTCATAATTGTTATCCCAAGTATGAAATAACACAACGTTCTGACAAACTGTCAATGTTATAGTTTAGAAACGTTTTATCTTCAGACTACTGTTGAGATTTACATTTCTGAAATTAGTTATCAGAAGCGTTCTAAGAATACAGTGTTATGACATAATCAGTAGTAAATTCAACATTTTGCTGCCTTGATTTTCTCCTACAATTTAGACGTACATACTAAATACCTTCTGTATGTACATTCAAACATTGCGTTGTCTACTTTACAGTGTGTATAACAAAGGTTGTCAAACCATCTGATACCGAGAGGTCGTCCAGTAAACTTGGATTGATACTACTGGGATCTATTGGTAGTGTAGTAATCCTGTTCATTGTTGGTTTTATTGTTAATTGTTATGTAAAAAATAACAATAGTCGGTAAGTTATTTCAAAAAAATAGATTTCAATGATTATTTTAATGAATTAATGTTTTAAATATTAATTATTTTATAAATCAGAATTGAGATATTTTAGATAAGCGCAAAAAAGAATTCCATGGTACATTCAAAACGGGGACATCAATAAAAACTGACAAAATCAAACGTTATGAATCAACGGAACGAGTGAAATACAACTGTCATATTCCTGACTTGGTACAAAGGTTTTCCTGGATTAAACGTCCAGGTTGTATAAATACTTTTAGGAGCTATATAAAACGTGTATGATCAATAAAAATATAATAGATGTACATGTATATTTCTACAGCAAGTCTACACCTTTGTCATTTGTCCAACTAGTCTTGTTGTTTTAACAATAAGTGCGCCATGATTTTTCCTCAGTAAATGGGTAAAATAGTAATAGTCCGTTAGATTTTGAAATGTATAATGTTTTTTCATATATCAAAGAATAGGATTGCAGTGTATATCAAATCAACGAAAACTCATGCATACTTATGTTGTTCCTAGTCAAAATGAAAATAAAAGAAATACTGTCTAACCAAATAACATTTGAAAAACTTGCAACGCTCATAGAAAGGCGATGTAAAGGGCTTGTAAAGTATGTATTCCTATGCATGTTTTATTTGTCTTTAATGTATATTCCCGGGTTTTTTAGTTTGAAGAAGAAAAGCACATACGAAGCTGATGAACATTACGACATGAGGAGGCTGCCAAGGTTGAAACTAAAAAACTGAAACGCTCCACCAATATGATTGTTTGTTTATGTAGACACAAATGACAATTGTACAAATTTGAGAAGTATTTGTTGAAAGAATCATCACCATAAAATGAACATTTATTAAGTATTGTATATATATTACTCTTACTACATATGATTAAACATCTTTATAATATAGTACCAACATACGCAAACTGTTCTATAATTATAGTAATTGAATCCGTAAAACATACTATATTATAAAACAATTTTTTATTGAGCTGTTATATAAATTGAAGAAAAATATTATTCATTGTCTTTTATATAATTTTGATGTATAAATTGCTAAATAAAAGTGTTTATAATATTAGAACTTTTCAAGTATATTCTAAAAAAATCCAGCTTCGTTCTAAGGTAATATTGAGGAAATATCCTACATCAGTGCATGAATGCTACATTGGTTATCCTTCCCGACTGATTGTATTATCATTGTTGTTTTTTTTGGCAGAGGAGTCATATTCTAAGCTATGGGATATAAAACTCTTGTCCACTACCTGGTTGAATACGAAATGACCATGAACAAGATAATCCGTTTACTTACCAGAACGTTTCTAAGAAGTGATTAATGGTCTTTTTGGCTGAGTACAAAGGACATTATTACAAAAGGAAAAAAATTTTAAAACGGAAGAGTTATATTATTTTTGAAGAACAAATTGCTGCAATTAATATATGAATTGCATATTTCAGATTATAAGCTCTCCATCTTTAATAAGATTTGGATTTTCACTTATTTTGGCCTCGAGCATCACTGAGGAGATATTTGTTGTCAAAATGCGCATTTGGTGCAGAAAAATTGGTACCGTGTATGTTATTAGTTTCAATCAAAGGGGATATCGAAAAAAAAAAGACTATATAGCTTAAGTAAGCTTCAAAAAAAAATATTTTAGAAGTCAATTACGGTACAGGCATTAAAGCGAAATTAAAAAGAGTCTTGTATACAGATTATGCAAATGAATCGACTGTTCCTGATATTTCTCACCGATCCTAATTATTAAAGAATATCAAAAGTATAAGAATAGCCGGTATATATGAACATAATAGGAATTTATAAACACACAATTTGGGAAAGTAACTAAACTCATCGTTAGTCCTGAGGGTATCACCAGCTCAGTCGCAAGTACTTCGATACTGACATGATTTATTACATACCTTATTTAAATTCTCCGTTGATATTTTTTTTTAATCAGGCAAAGTTGGCCTTAGATGAATTTTGCTAATTTTTAAGGTCCCTTTAGCTCATAAAGCTCCCTCCGTCAATAATTAGGAATTGAACGTTCCTCTTGAAGTTCAATACAAAATATCGTTATTTCATTTCATATTAGTTTCATTTTAATTTAAGGGACATATTTCACAAACGTGCAATTACACTTACCGCAATTAGAACTATAATTAATAAAATAACAGACTTAAATATTCCCTTTTCGCTTTGGCGTAAATGTCCAATAGACACTTTTTTCGAACTCGACTGGAAAATTCAAAGCCTCCTGAAAATTTCTCAAAATTCATTGAGAAAATCGGTTTGATAGCGCTTAGAACACAATTTTCGCATTAACTATATTTCTCAATGCCATAATTCCCGTAAACATTATGGATTAGTATCTAATTCTTTATTTGAGTGCGATATTATTATGTTATCCTTTTTGTAAGGCTAGATACAGAGATGATTAAACATAAAAATTTATTAAGTAATAAAAATTAGATCTTCGCACTTGTTCACTGTTTTACTTGCTCACAATGTGGGAGCTTCAATATAATAAAAATTAAATCTCTGCGCTTTTTTCTCCCCTCGGTCTGTCCCAAACATCGTGAGCAGGTACAGACAGTTTTGATTACACTCGGTATAACCGACATACAGTTAATTCAGGGTTTTACGGTGTATTAAATCTAGTTTGGTAAATAAAGGGTCAAACTACTTTTATTCGTGAAAGTATTGTCGTAAAAGTAGGTTTAAAAAGTTGACATGATTTTTGATAAATTTGTACATTCTTTATATTACATTAACACCTATTATGCATTTTAGCAACAAACTAATCACAAATGTGACAAAACGCACTATCACATTTAACAGAATCTATGACAGTACCAGAATCTATGACAAACGAGACGATGACAATTTTGAAATTATAAATTGTAAAATTATAAATTGTATATTTATTTACTTTACAGTTTTCCCTTTATTTGTCTTAGTGCTATTATATTTCCTTTGGTCATATGGCTTTTAACACGACTCGGTATTTATGCATCCCGCTATCGGGTTTTGACTTTAGGCTTTCCTGGTTCATGTGGGTCCTGAAGGGCGATTCGGATGAAAGAGTGTTGTTTCCAATTTGTTTACCCTTGTAATTATACTTAATTTGTACTTTATTAAGAAAGTGTATACTATATACAGTATGTACTATCAACTACAAAAAATTTGTTTATCTGAGTCCTTGTCAATTTACTACCACCTACAAAAACGGTTTTGTTGGTGTCTTTGTTAGATTTATTTATGTTTTTTGAATTATTGAATCAGTTCTGGTGTATGTCTGTAGTGTATGTTTGCATACTTTTGCCTGCTGGATCCCAATTGTTATCACATTGACCTAGTGTGTCTGTTTGGGTTGCTCAAACGGTTTTGTCAATATAACGGAACTATATACAACTGTCATATAAGTGGAAGGTTTAGCTTGCTATAAAACCAGGTTTAACTCTTCATTTTCTTCAGAAAATGCCTGTACCAAGTCAGGCATTTGGCAGTTGTTTTTCACTCGTCCCAACTGTTGGCTGATAACATTTTATTTTGTCAGTTTTAATGGACTTCCTATGTTTGAACTGACCATAGAGTTCTATATATACTTTTTTAGCTTTCGAATTCAAGTACCATGTTTAATTTATTGCTAAATCAAGTTTTTTTAACACATTATCCTTGATTCTCGATGTTTACAAGTAACAAATTACATCTTTTTATTTAAAACAGTTTCAACAAATGACAAATTCATTGTATTATTTCTTTTATAGATGTTTAACGACTGATATCTGAATGTCATTGCTGTACCGTTCGTTGTCTTTGTAATGTGTTTTATTTGTACTATTCTTTGCAAATTCTTGTACTGGTCGTTGTGCTTTTAAGGGTTATCAATATGGTAGTATAATAGAGAATGGAAACGGGGAATGTGTCAAAGAGACAACCACCCGACAAAAGAGCAGAAAACAGCCCAAGGCCATTAATGGGTCTTCAATGCAGCGAAAAATTCAGCTGGCCACTAAATCATAGTGTATACTAGTTCAGCAAAATGGACGTCACACTAAACTCCTACAAATATAAATGAACCAAAATTTTAAAAAATACACAAGATTAACAAAGGCTAGAGGCTCTTGACTTGGGACAGACCCAAAAATGCGGCGGGGTTAAACATGTTTTGTGAGTTCTCAACCATCCCTATACATCTAGCCAATATTGAATAAGCAAACACAGCTAAACGCACAGTTACATTCAGTTTAAAAGAAGTCCGACGAGTCCGATGTTAGAATAGGTACAGAAGGAACTAAGCAAAATGATAATGATAACATATGAGTACTAACAGTTACTTACATGCCAGCTCCAGACTTCAATTAAAACGATTGAAAGATTATATATTCATTATATGAAAATCAAGCACAATCACTCTACTTTGGGGTTAAGTATCATGCCATAACAATTATACGAGAAGAACATGTATGTTACAAATGCGTGACAAATTCCCGAAACTACTTGTGTGTCTTTTTGAACGCACAACAAAGTTATAGCAAACACCAATAGATTTAAGAAGATGTGGTATGAGTGCCAATATGACAACTCTCCATCCAAGACACAATTTGTAAAAAGTAAACCATTATAGGTCAAAGTACGGCCTTTAACATGGAGCCTTGGTACCAAAACCGTTTGTTTCTTTGTTTCTTACTTTCTTTCTTTTTTGGTGTTTTATGCAACTTTCAGCTACCTTCAGGCTTGGCTATATTACGGCGGTCAGTTTTTTTTTATTGGCGAAGGAAGCTGGAATAACCAGAAAGAAGTATCTTCCTTGCAGACTATTGATCATATAGGGGTAAATTCAGTAAAAAACTTTCCCACTGACTTGAATGCAAACCTATGTCTTTTAATAAATGTATACCTGGTTTACATATATCATTCATTAAAGTACAAATGTAGTCCAATATTTTGCAACAATAAAAACATAGGGTCATGCGGCATTTTTGGGCCATTAACATGGCCTTGTTTGCAAACACTGTAGATTCAGAAGAGCACAGGTCATCAGTCTTATACTGAAAGCTCTCCCCAAATGGGCGGTCCTTGATGACGTATATTTATTTACCGAATTTACCCCTATACAGTTTACTTAATTATCAATCAGCTTGAAATGATTTAGGTTGATTCTCATGATATTAGTTATCCCGACTCGTTCTGAGTAAAATATTCGTTCGGTTTGGTTCTGTTTAATTTATCATTATATCATAACGAGCTTCATATAAAAGAGAGGCGAAAGATACCAAAGGAATATTCAAACTCCTTAAAAAACTGATAATGTCATGGCAAAAAACGAAAAACGACGAAAAGACAAACAACAGTACACAAAAACACAACATAGAAAACAAAGACTGGGCAACATGAACCCAACCAAAAAACCGGGGTGATCTCAGGTGCTCCGGAACCTGTTTATGTGCAATAAAGCCTTGGATTTTAAAATTTGTTTTGTTCATGTTAAGGATGTTCGCTCCTCATGTTTTTGAATTTTTGCCAGATTTTCGGAATCCTCTGGTTTTTTCCATGTTTTGCCGTTAAAAAATTTTGTCCACTAACCCCTACTTTTCTTTTCATAATTTTATAAAATATAGTTTAATAAGCCATATTTGAAAATCTTTTAAAATCCTTGTTATTTTTTCATAGTTTTTGAAAGAGAAAAGCGGACAATGTTAATAGTATGAAAAATCTAGAGAGAATCATTTCCCGCCAAATTTTCAATGGCTTATATCTCGAAAACAAGCACACGGACCCTTCATTTTTTTCTGCTTTTTTTAGTTCCTTTGTTTATTTACTTTCATTTTGTAACAGTCTTTTAAAAGGCTTGTTATTTTGAAAGAGAGAAGCGAACATCCTTAAAGGGGCATTAGCTACGAGATATAAAGAAATTAAAATATGATTTTTTTGTTCAATCATTAATGAAAGTGAAATTGTGAAATAATAATTCACTTACAGCAGC